GAATATCATCCGAGGAGTTGGTTTCTTGTTAAATATGGTACGAGTGACTGAGGATTCTGGCTAGTATCCTTTCCAGTGGCTCAATTTGGATGGGTTTATCCAGAGTCTATGGAGGAATGAGGGATGAAGAGGATTCCTCTGCTGGCTCGGGCTTTGCCATTTTCTTGGGGTTTGTTTTTCTTATTCTCTTGGTGTATGACGTCTTCATAATGAGATTCTGGTATGAACAGCGGATCGGTTTTGGCATGAACGGCTTGGTGGCTTTCAAGTGCCTTCTTCTTAAGTCATCACAAATTACTAATCTTTAAATATGGATTAAAATCTAATAGTTTAAACATCCTGAGGACTTGTATATCGACACCGATAGCAGAGCTATCTGGGTTACATGGATGGACTCATGCAAATAAGTTCGAGGCTGAAACAGACAGAGGATCCTTAACTGTTATAAGTACTATTTGGCTTATCATTTCCTCCTAGTCTCTTCAGCACTACTGTTGATCGTAGTGGTGGGGTGGCATTAGCTGTCACGACATTGGCGTCTGCGAACTTCAAATGGCTTCCGTATCTACAGAATGAGAATGGAGAACTTATGTGTATTCCCATATTCAGCGTCCAAATTCAAACTGTGTTACTGAAATATTCTTCAACGATAAATTGCAGCCGCCTTGAGGGAATATTTGGCTCATCTCTTCCAACATTTTGTGTATATGACATGGAATTGTGATACCTTGAAGAGTTTATGTACCAGGACATGTTTGTTGTTCACTGTAGACTCCTTGGCCTTTGTGAAATCTGGAGAGAGCATGCAAGTCAAAAAAGGCCTGATTTTTGGCACTGTAATACAATCCACCTCATAAGCTATCTATCGTAGATGCTACTTCTAGCACTAGGCTGTTACCCAAATTCCAATTGACTTAGTCTTGATCTACGACCAGTTAGCAGTTAGTCTGTTTTGTTTGTACTGATTTTGGAACACAAGTCATTGAGGGAAAAGCTGGGAAATGGATTCTGGTCCTAAAGAGACCTACTCATCTACTGTGATTTGAGTGTGACACTTTGTGATCTGGGCACTCTTTCTGTCTTCTGAAAACATTATGATTTGTGAAAATTTGGTTGTGTGAGCGACTGATCGACTGTGGAAGAAAAGTAGCACTTGATTTAAAGATTATTCCCTGCTTTGAACCCCAAGCTAGAAAATGTGAAAAAATCAAGGTGGTGTGATGGAATATTGTGAAGAATCATTAGGCTGCATACTACTAGGGGACAGGAGATGTGTAGAGTCCTTGTCTCGTTACATTCTACGTACGTCGTCTTGCTGTAGGTGCAAATGGGGACATACTTGACAACCAAGGCCATCAACTACGTAAGATCTACTCATGGGGGCCGACTTCTTGCACCGCGTCGAGTATCAAACATGTGTCAGTCAGAACCTAACCCAGAACCTAACCCATGGTTTGATGGTTGATCCGACCCATGCATTTCACATCCAGGAGATTCCTTCCTTATTACTCCAGTTCGGATATTGGGGTCTAAAGGTCACTCCCTTCATACAAGAAGAGGTACAGCAAGATCAAGATCAGGTACTTCGAAAAAAATCTGGCATATTCTTGATTCAACTCTTCATTTCTATTTTGTTGGTCTGAATATGTGAGCGTTTGAGAATGAAACGTACAAAGTGTGAATGAAATGACGACAGCATGAATATGTGGTACGAGCTTCATTCAATCAGTCCTCCGTTTGAAAAGGAAGCGTAACATGCACTACATTAAAGCAACATTTGATCATCTGGTCAAGGTTTTCATTTGTGATTCTGAGCGAGAACATGACCATTCAAAGAGTGTTAACTATTCAATCTTTGGAAATTTGGTCTACAGTATGAACACTCTTTCTTCTCGACATGGCAAGTATGTATTTATGTAATTTGTAATATTTTATGTATCCAAGTAAAAAACTATTTTTGGTATAGCTACGGAAAGGTAGCATGCTTGGTAGTTCAAATCGAGGTCATTAGTCATAACTACAAACTGAGCCCTCATAGCCGCCTACGTTCTGTCAGAACGATCACATATAATGCACTCTTAAGACAATGAACGAGAGGATCGTCTTTAAATCCCAGTACGCCATGCAACGAGCAAGGTAAGCCAAAATATTATAAAAGAAAACAAATATAAACAAGTCTTAAACAAATCGCAAGTTCTCCTTTAAATCTCAGTATGCCATGCAACGAGCGAGGTAAGCCAACATACTAAGACGAAAACTAATATAAACAAGTCTTAAATAAATCGCAAGTTCTCCTCCACATGTGAGGTCTCACTTAGATCTTCGGTGCCTCTTGCTGCCAAGTTCTAATCATACAATGCTTCACGTACGTAGCCTTGGGTTGGGCATATGTATGTATAGTATAATTTATACTTACTTTATAAATCATGCAGTGGCATGGTATCCATCTACAAAAACACCAGAGGTGTTCATAAGAGACCATGCGCAAATCAGAGCATCTCTCGATTCTTGTCAAGAAAGGGGGTGGTGGGTCGCGACCAACTTTAGAAGGCGACATCGACAGTGGGCAAACTCGGGCAGTCTATCGTCGGCCGCCTCTCCAACACGTGGACGCGGTACATATCCAACTATCATCCAGGTGAGAGATGGTGGGCCTGTCCGACGGCTTCTCATAACTTCGTCCATGGTTACCGAGTGGGGCCTATCCGCGGGTTACCCGTCTGGTCTCATCCTTGTACGTCCCGATGGGGTCTTCCCATCCTTTTTGCCATTTACTTTGCCTCCCGTTACCCAGAGGGTGAACCTCGGCAGCGCATACAATAAGAACGTCATTACAGCTTTTCCCCGACGAGCCAGTAAAAAGCCGACTTTTGGGAAAACCATTCACCGAAAGTATCCCAGAAAAGGTCATTTTCATAAAGATCTTTTACTCATCCGTAACCTCGAGAGGGCGGTAAACGTCCCTGCAGAGTAGCGCAACATTCGGGTTCTACGCAAGTTTCGCCAACAATCGTAGGGGAGCCAAAGGGGCAAGTCAGTGAAGCACTGCTCACCGGACTTTAACCGGTTTTGTTTGACCATGCTGTTCTCCGGAGCAGCGTCTGGATCCTGTAATCATATCGACAGGAAGGAGAGATTCATTCATAATCTCGTTGGAATCAAAGGGGCGATGACACCAGGCGAGATAACTATCCGCTACAGCGCATGGGACGGTAGTACTTGTGGCGGTATGAAGTAAAATCGACATGTCACAGCCATTGGTATGGGGTCAATTGGCGGTATCAGCTAAAGTTTGGGGAGTTCTTCCGGTCATTTGAGACGAGGAGAGTCCAGCTAGCGGTGGGAAAATTACATGATTGGATCTTAACTCTACGGTGGGCCTAAGTTACCGAACCATGTGGTTAGACCGATCAATAGCAATACCTGAACTGAATCCTGCCCATGCGCGTCACAGATGGGCTACCGGCATGCCATGCCGAGCCACGCCATGCCATGCGAGTCCATCCATAGACAGATGGGCATTGAAAGAGTTGACTGTGCCCGGACTGAAAAGGCCATGGACAGAGAGGCATTGAGAGGGTTGACTGTTCCCGTACTCCGTGGGTCCATCAACTAAAGGATGAAGTCGGTAAGGACAGAAAAATGATCTGATCCGTGTCCAGTTTCGAGGAGCTCTGGGGTTTGAACCCGAACCCCCACGAACCATCGAATTTCAGTCTTGACAACTCTGCGTTCTGATTGGAGCATGAGTGTCCGGGTTAACTTGATCGGACCGGAGTTAGGGTGCTCCCGCGAGGATTCGGCAGAGCGAGTTTCAAGTCACATGTGACGAGTTACGGTCTGACTGGAGTTCGAGTTCGACCGGTTTGCCCACACCGGTCTGTAACGCGTAATCGCGACATTTTGGGCAGAGCTGATGATTTCCGGAGCAGGCTCGAGGGTTCATGCCTACAAGAGGCACGTGCTGTTTGGATACCGATGAACGCAAATCGTTCCCGTACATCCGTCCATATTCTGTGTCTTGGGGGTGAGGAAATTCGTGCAGCCTTGACCAGACTGAAAATAATGTCAGTGAAGTGGCGTGAAAAAAATGTTTAGTAGTAAGGGTAAAAAATCCTGGACAGCTTATGCACAGAAGACTTCTGGCGTATAAAAATCTGTTAAGAAAAATCACATTTTCCAAATGCTTGAAACTTTGTGTTATAAGTTGATAACATATGAATGTCCGGAGAGGATGAATTTTGATTAACGTGGCATAAAAAGAACCAAAAGATAGACCACCCTGGAGTAAGTTTCGCACGGGTTTTAGCCGCAGAAATTCACGGACGTAGCATTTCCTTCCTTCCTCGCTTGAAGATTGCGAATCAGATAAACGGAGAATAAAAGGGGCGAGGAGTTCGTTATTAGAACTTAGGAACACCGGCCTCGCTGTCGGCATGGGAGGAGCGCGCTGGTGGGAACGCGGGGAACGTGACGTGTTGTTAGTAAGTTCGTGGGATTACGGCACTGGGGACGGGGGCGTCCGTCCGGGAGGTTACTAACCGGTCACTGCAAAATGTACAGGTCCACTGGCCCGCTCCGCCTTGTCCGGTCGGCGAGCAGACTTGCCGGCAGGCGCCCGGCGGCGCCATTTATTACGCTTCCCCGTCACTGGAGAGCTGCGAAGGGCGCCTGTGCTGCATTTCGCTGCAGGGCCAGTAGCGGCAGGCAGGCGAACGCGCGGGCGGGCGGGCGGGCGGGCGGGCGGGCAGCAGCAGCAGCAGTCGTACATCCGCACCACAGCTACTTCTCTGCCGCTGCTGCGCTGCAAAGGGAAGGCAAGCGGGGTTAGGATGCGTAACCGTGGTTGGGGTCTGGACAACCGTAGGACAGGAAGAACAACAACCGTAGGGTAGGGTTGCGTCGTTTGTCTTTCTCGAAGGGGGAGGATGGCGCATGCGTTCACTCGTCCACCTTTATGAGAGCAGTGGCGAGCAGATGTCGAGCACATTGCACCCCATCCCGGACAGGCAGACAGACAGACAGAAGCGAGACAGGTCGAGAGCGTGGGTGAGGGCCTCCGTCCCCCTCCTCTTCCTTTCTCCTTCCCTTCGCGTGCTTCACTTTCCCCTCGCCTCGCCTTCCTGCCTTCCTTCTTACATCCTCCTCTGCTCGGCCACTTCTTGCCTTTTCTCTCTGTCCCTCTCTCTCTCTTCGCCCCTCGTCCTCTTCGTCGGCCTTGCTTTGACTCGCTCAGTCGTTAGAATTTTCAGTTTCTCTTCCTCGTGGGACGCACTCACTACTCTAGCAGGCAGGCAGGACACAGACAGCAGCAGCAGCAGCGAAGAGCAGGAGGAGGATCGTCAGCGTAGTCACTTTCTCGGCGACTGGGCGGGCGGGCGGGCTGGCTCGCGGGCTAGTTGGGTGGGGGTTGTTCGGAGTGAAAGAGATTTTGGGGGCCTCTGAGCTAGCTACAGTCGGGAGAGATATTCCAATCGCACGCAGCAGCAGCAGCAGCAGCAGCAGCGCCATCGGCTTCGAAGCTCTTGCGCTTACGCGTCTCTGTTTCGTTCCTTCAGTGGGAGGGTTGAGCTCGCGTGATTGAGTGATCGATTTATCCATTGCCAGGGCGTTTTCTTGGTCACGAGAGTGTGAGGGGACGAGGAATCGAGTCCAATTTTGTCCATCTGGCGAGCGTTCTTCGAGCTCCTTTGATGTAATCGCAGTGAATGGATTCTGCTTGACGGAGGCGCGGACAGATTTTCCTTCTCTTGCTGCGCACGCGTACTCGTCCGAACGCTGGTTCTGGAGGTCATTACGTTCTTACCGTGAAGTGAAGGCGCAGGAGCGTGATTCCCCGTATGTCCTACAACTTATCAAAACATTTTGCTACTCTTATATCTTTGATTAGAGAAGGAGCAAAAGGCGTCCAGGAAAAGTACTTCACGGGTGACAAAGGGGAGAGCAAATAGAAGACATAATTGAAAATTGACAGACGAGATATGGTGAGATAACGTTCTAGACCGTGGCACCCAAGGTGGCCCGGATTATACTTTAACCCTCCTCCTCTAGAGAATGCTGCCATATACGCAAGCATAGTCAGGGTGAAGCTGACAGCTCCAACAAGAAGATTGCTGTACCCTGTGCAAGCAAGCAAGCCAGGCATGGCGTGCTCAGTTCAGGTGGTTCGAGAGCTTTAGCTACCAGATATGGTCAGATAAGAAGATAGATAGACAGGTAGATCACGAGGCCGATGATGATGATGCACGTCGAGAGTGGAGCAGAGGATTGAGCAGAGGAGAGGGATTTGTGTGTCGTCCGTGTCGGACGGGTGACTGTTTGTGTGAGGTGTGGTGTGGTGTGAGTGTGAGTCCAGCGATTCTGTCTTGCTCTCGACAAACAATTTATACAAACTTTTTTTTCCCCTGTTTGGATTCTTGAAGGGCGAACAGATTCGGTACATGGCAGCAGCGCCGGCTCCGATGGAGCTCTCGGATTCGTCGGAGATGAACAAGCGACACGGTCTTCTTGCGGTCAACAAGTCGTCGGGCAAAATCCAGAAGGGGATACGGCGCCCCGTTGCCCCGCCGCGGCCGCAGCCGACCGTGTACAAGATCGAGCCCGGCCACTTCCGCAGCCTGGTGCAGGAACTAACGGGAACAGCGCCCAGCGAGCAACCTGCTCCGAAGCCGACGGGCAACGCGCGGCTGCAGAAGTTCGCTCCGCCTCCTCTGCGCCCGACTTTCTCGTATGCCAAGCCCACCATGCCCAATGGCATGCAGCTGTCGACCCCGAATAATGGCCAGAGATTCAATGGCATGCCCTTCAATGGCTTCGGTTCATCGCTCTCGCCCCTCACCCAGAGAATTACCCCTTTCCCCATGCTCTCGCCCCATTCCTTCTCCCCGCTCCCTGCGCTGTCCCCGAATGATCAGATTTGGGCCAACTCTCTCGAGTCCCCGAGCCACATCGCCATGCGTCAGTTGGCCCAGAGCATGGCTGCCAGCGAGAGTAATTTACATCAGCAGCAGCAGCATCAAGTTCAGCAGCAGCAGCAGCAACAGCAGGTGCAGCAGCAGCATCAGCAACAGGTCCAGCAGCAGCAGCAACAACAACAACAGCAACAACATCGGCAGCAGGTGCAGTTGCAACAGCAGGCGGACAGCTTGAGGTTGGACAATGTTGTCAATGGAGCCGGGGCTTCATTCAGAGACCTTCAGGGGGCGTTTCCTCCTTTGTCGCCTTCGAATTTCAGCTTGTCGCCGAGGTTCTCATCGCAGTACCCGAATCTGCCGAGCCCCGTGGGGCTGGGCGCAATGGCCTCGGGATTCGGCATTAACATCTACAACATGGGGACTCTCAACTCCCCGACCGCAGGACTGGCAATGGATTTCTCCTTCCCTGAGCCCGACTTCGTCTCCACGGGGTTTTCTTGATCGCGCGAGGCCACGAGGAGGTGAATCGTACAGACAAAGCAGGAATGAATCACTATCCAATCACATGTTTCTAGTGGCACTCGCGACTCCGACCCACCGCATTAGTTTCCCACTGATGCTCAACTCCCCAGTTCAAACGGGTTTGCTGGAGGTTCAGGAGCCCATTTTAAAAAATTCGCTGAAGATTACCTGTGCATCAGGCAAGCTCACTGGCAGGCATATGATTTATGTAGGCCATAAATCAGGTCGCCGTCTGGAGCGCTTAGTTTGTGGAAAGAGGTGGAAATCATTCTCGTCACGCTCTGCGACTGAGCGGGAAGGATCTGAGGAGAGGAGCGGCGTAGAATCTGTAGATCTTCCAGTAACTCATTCTCGTAGTTTCGATTTCATTGATGGAGGGTAGCGGTTGCTTTCGGATACGGTAGCCTTTTCTCGACTCCAAACAAGAATGAGAAACTCAGTGGACAGAAGAAGATCATGGAGAGGAAGAATGGTAGAAATCGGGCCACAAATGGGGAGAGGAAGAGAGGGGGCGGGAGGGAGGGAGGGAGGGAGGGCGTAGGGGAGGGAGGGGGCAAACCTGGAGTTCTTGTTTTAGAGTTAGTCCGACAGACATTAGATGGCAGCGACGCACGAACTCGGGTCTGACCAGCGCGACCAGAGAGTTTATTCATTAATTTTCTTCGGACAGTGTACAAATGCCCATTAGGACCGTCTCCATCCTCTGCGGTGAATGTACCCATGGACGGTACTTTACATGTACTTAAAACCATACATCAATTGTTGAAGTAAATGTCTTCAATCTTATCTCACGCGCGTCCTTCGTCACTTTTTCGACTTCGAATCTTCACTTTGTACGTGAATCGGGTCCCAAGTTTTCCTGTGGATGGGCTGCGGCGGAACCTGCAGCTTGTGTGAATCACCGTCGCGTCGATTTGCATCGAAACCGAATCTGGTCAAGAGCAACAATTGCAAGCCCAGTCTCTTTCTGTCTGTCTGTTATGCGATAGGAACTTCGATTTCGCTTGCTTGTTCATGCTTTAGTTTGTTGATTGGGGCTATTGTGAGCAGTGCGTGATGGGCAGCATGCAACTCATCTCTTCCTAGACCTTCCACGTCGCCTCATATCTATCGAAGTGCGTTCGGCGACATGGTGCTGGGTTGGGGTTCTAGCAGCAAGGAGGTCGTGGCTGCTCGACGAGTCTTCGAGCTCGGTGGCTGCTGCGGCTACAGCAGCGCAGTTTCATTCACTCATATGATCATTCAATCAATCTATCAATCGAATTGCATGGTTTCATTCTCTTCCTATTCTGTGTAGATCGTACCGTCAGCACGTCACGATGTTTGGATAGAACGAAGCTGGTCAATCTACCCGCTCTGACTGGCACAGTTCCAGCAGTGCTTGACATCAGATTTGCAATCGCGCGTGACGTCGGAGAGTTCAGACAAGTCTCTATCCCGAAGAGATCTCCGAGTCAGTTGGCTGCCATGATCTAGATTCGTTCAGACCTCGGTCGCCCGCTCGCCCGAGGTACGAGTCCGAGCGCAGATCGTGTACCCTTGTTGCCCTCAGTCAGATGAGCCCCTGTTGGTGCCATCTCGGAGGGTGACAGGTAGAGAAGTTTAGGCACGCAGTCAGGATCTACATTCTTCAGCTGCCATCGCTTTGGATCGCTGCCATAATTGGTGATGGTCAGACCGGCTTTAGTTTGGTGACAGGCTCGGAATGGAAAGGAAAGGGAAGGAAAGCAAACCAATCCAAAGCACGGCATTTTCTTAATGCTCCGTATTCTAAACTAAGTTAATCCCTCCATGCTTGTCCTAATACAGCCTCCCTTCTCCTACCTTTCCCCCCTTCCGTTACTCGCTGCTGCCATTATTGAGGGCTGATCAGCGGAGCCTGGTTGGTGACACCCAAAAAAGAACAGCGAGGCCTCCATCTCCCATCTTCTCCCGTGAGTAGTGAACTATTGAGTTCTACTCCCATGGAACTCACTCGTCCATCTACTCATCTCGCTGCTGCCGCTGCGGCCATTATTGACAGTCTAATGAGCCATTGTTTGGTGACGACGCTGAAGGAAGAGATCTGCCACTTTTTCGACTATTTTTCTAAAACCGATATCAATCAACAATCTGATTTCTTTCTTAAATCACTCAGATGGTCTGCCTGTCTGTCTGTCTGTCTGTCATAATTGGAATTAAATCAGGCGTGGTTCGTTCGCCCTAGTTTTGTCACGCTAGGACAGGCAGAGGCGGAGTTGCAGCTCATAGATAGAAAAATAGATAGATCGGGTACTCCCCCGTACTATCGTCACTTCATGATTCAGCCTAGCTAGTTGATTTGAGTGTAGCCTGAGCTGCGCTGAGCTTCTTGGACCGAGTCCGAGGCTCTCTGAGCGACGGGACGAATTTGTGACTCATGGAAGGATACCACTGTAGTGATTTATTCCTCGCGCTGTCCTGGGTCTTGCTTGCTCGCTCGCTCGCTCTGTGGTTCACTCAACAGCAAACGGGCCCAACCAATCCATGTCTGTCTGATTATTCTCAGAACATCATCTGCTTCCTTCCTACTCCTCCGCTCAGCCCCTCGATTGAACAGTCTCCAGTTTTGTCATTTTGATTATTCTCCAAATGTCGTTCATCCACTCCATAATTCCTCAGTCCCTCTCGTCCCTTGATCTGAAACTGGTCCCGCCTCTCCTCCCAGTGGCCCGGCCCCGTGGCCCCCATCCCCCTCGGCCCCTACCTCTCTCTGTGTGCCTGCCCATGGGACATTCTCTCTCTCTCTTGCTCGTCACTCTGCCCATCCCTATCTCAAGGTGGTGGCCACGAGGCTCGATCTTCTTCGATCATTCTTCCACGACTCGCGAGCCCGCAGCCAGCTGGAGCTCGGATCACTGATTTCTCTCCCTGAATCGTGAACACCTTGTCATCTGGCCTGATCAGGGCAGAGGAGGCCAAAGCACTGCATCGTAATGCAAGAATCCCTCCACAGCATTCATCAAAACTGGGGCAGAGAAGCGAAGGGCTGCCAGCTCTTTCATCGCTCTGCAATTCTTTCTTCCTCCATCTCTCGATTCCCTCGAAGTCCCACCAACTTTACGGACAACACAAGTCCAGACCACCGATCCGTCCTAAGCTTCCTTCCTTCCTTCCGGTGCGACGCTCCGTCCACTCTCAGAGCATAGCTAATGAAGGTGGACGGACGGGCGGACGGACGGAAGGAGGGCAGGAAGCGGGAAGCACGAAGGGACGGATGGCATGATGAATCTGCACTACTAAACATAGCTGTTGACCGTTACCGGCCGCAGGTATCTCGAAGTGAGGGAAGGCGAGGGAGGAGCAACTAAATCATGGGTCGTCGTTGGAAAGCCTTTGTGGGTTAGATTTTAATTCGTAAAATATGGGCAGACCGCTTCGGGGGACGCAGAGGGAACCTCAAATAAATTGCCGAGTTTTTCCCTTTGACTTGTCTTCGCTCCGGCCTACGGAGTTTTTGGGGCCTGGCTCCGCCTCATCATCATCAGAATCATCATCGGCAATCAATCTGCCTCCCGTTCCGAGTGCGGTATGTTGTTCTTGTACAGCGCCCGCTCCCTTCGTTTGTGGTCACAGTTGGTGACGTCAAGCGGCTTAAAGCCGCGATACAAAAAGGGGCGAAATTGTTAAATATTTCTTTGACCGCGCAGCCCTCCACACCGAGGGTGTTGCGAAGAGTATAGGGATTTGAAAAGCATTATTTGCTGGGATTTATGGACCCTCGTTGCTGTGCTCCACGTACGACCCTCCGGGGAAAATATTAAATTGAATTGAAAAATGGTCATAACTTCCTTTGACCCCTACGTGGTGACCTGATTATTACGCAGGGTTAGGGTCCTCCGGATGTTTTCTTCGCATTTTGGAAGCGAGAATATTTTTGTAAGACTCGGCCTGATCCCTCATGTTCTTGTATCACGTGGACGAACCTGGATGGATGATGAGTTAATCATGGTTGAAAAAGGTCATTACTCCTTGACCCCATTATGATTGAGGTTTCGTACTCGACCCGACTTTTTATACCCTTCAATTTTCGTAGTCGAGCCCTATACTCTGATAAACAAGATCTTAACTCATTCAGATGAATTTCACACCTTTTATAAATACTCCAGGCTTTTTAATTACTCGGTCTCGAAAAGCAGCACTGGAAATCCGAGCCAGACCTACTTGTCTTTCGTACACCCTACTCTCCTACCACTTGACTGACGGACTGACCGACTGACAGTCCTCTCCAGCTCCATCTACGAATACGATACCACGGATACTGGTCTCGCTACAGACCGTGTGATTCTTCCTTTCGGGCAACGACGAACGACATGTTCCTGTAACCAGGTTAGAGTAACATGGAGGGAAATCATTGCTGGATGAATGAACGAGGTACGTACGTACCGATTGACTTTGTCCACTCTAGGACCGCTAGAGGGTGACGAGTGTTACATGTCTCCGTTTCTTGTCCTCCGCCTCGTCCTCGAATGAGAAAAGTCGTAAAACTGTCATGTTGGTGAAACCGCGCACGGAGCTCCCGGTCCCATCATCATCCTCCCTTCGGTTCGGTTCTGTTCGGTTCTGTTCGGTTCAGCTCGTTCATTCTCCTGGACTGGACTCCCTCATCCCCTTTGTGTTGGAACATATTTGCTTGGCATCAGCAGGAGCATAATCGAGGTAGGCAGTTGTGGGGAGTAAAGTATTCGGGTCTATGGCATCTCATTGGTGCCTGTGGCTTTGGAATATGATGACCATTCTCAGATGGTTCATTACTCCATTCTCTCTGTATAGGGATGAAATTATTTATCTATTTAAATCAAGTAGAGAGAGAAAGAGAGTTCCGGGGGAACCTTGGACCTCTAGACTTATTTTTCCTTTTTTCTTTTCCACTTTTCACAAAAACCCAGAAGTGTTAACGTTGAGATTTTCATGCAAATGTGGCGAAAGGTTGTGACCTCTTCGCAGCAGCGTTCCAAAAAGTGACCAAATAATACACGTTGTTCGTGACAGAAAGACCAGAGATACCAAAGGGTGATGCTATGGACACGATATTGCAGATATTATTCACCCAGAAGATATGTTACCAAACATTTTTATATAGTTATTTGTCTATTAATTATTATTTCTTTCTTTATTATATTGAAAGACGGAACAGGAAGGAAGACTCAACCAACCAACCACAAAATTTTTGTGAACATCCTTCTTTAAATGAGACATCAAAGGCCTCTTCTCTTACAAGAAACAAAAGAGAGACAAGACTGAGATTCTCGACTTATGACGATGAGCCCCAATGTACGTGTTTGTCCCACTGAAAATACTGACCATTTATGCTATCCAGAAATGTACTACCACGGCAGTACTTTACATATTGTCATATCATGGTCCAGCTGCTGAATGTACGAGAGCTTACACTTTACAACTGGATGACGAAGTCAATTCCATACAATACAATACGTTACAACCATCACCAACTTACAAAGATATGAGACAAATTTCCATGACATCCATCAGCACGAATGAACGAACGAGGGCTGTCTCTTCCAAGTTCCAGTCTCATCGAAATGCGGTTGAACGTAGATACACACCTCACGTTGTAAGGCATGATCTGATTCCAGCCATACCCTGTAACATAATTTCTTCTATGAAAATTTATGTCAACAGCCTCGAAGACCTACCAACTCCGGCAGAAGTTTTTCAGACATGAGTAAAATAATCTCAAAATTCTTCGCATGGATCTCCACAACCGGGCGAGCATGGGCAACAAAACGATCAACGATAGTTCATGCCCCG